GTAAAATAATTTCTTTTTGCTTACAATTTGTAGTAATATCTGTGAATAGGGTTAATTGAAGTATTTCGACATAGATCGTCAGGTCTCCATAAGTGATCTCATTTGTTAGTTTAGTTAGAAAATTAAGCCCTGGTAAGATAATCACCCTCAATTTGCCTTCTCATAGGGAACTGTATGCCCTGCTTTCCCTCTTCAGTGTTTGCTGGTTTGTGAGGATAGATCCTTCCAGGTCATGCCTGAGCTCTGATCTTGGATACCTCTCTCCCTGGAAACAGCTCTATTCCTTTTCTTCTCAAGTCTATCCTTACTGCTGTCTTATTTTCTAAGAACATTTGCAGTCATCTTCTTCTTGTGCTTTTGATTAGAGAGAGAAAAAAAATCTTTGAAAAAGAGTTCTATATTTTCCACCTTGTTTCCCTTAATCTGATTTGACATTCTGCCTCCGCCACTCTGAAAGGCATTACTCTGAAATAGTTATTGACTTTCCGATCACCAGCTCTGATGGCCTCTCAGTCCACAGGCACAGTAAACTCGACACAACTGGAGGAACTCTTTTCATGGCTCCAAGATCCGTGCTGCATTTTAAGATTACTGTTTGCTTTCATATTTTTATGTTCTGTTTCCTAATCTTCTCAAGGATTTAAAACTCAAATCTACCTTAATACTTACCCAGTTCTGTGTCTGGGCCTGTCTCCTGTTTTTCTCTCTCTTTTGGGTAGTAATAGCAATATTGCTAATTAATGATAACTCCCTGAGAAGCTTTCAGATCCCCTTCTCCAATAATATTATTTTCCACTAATTTTCTTTTTTTAAAAAAATGTTATGGGGATTTCATACTTGAGTTCTAATCCCGATTAATCTGATCCTAATTCCTAAACGTTCAGATTAGCACTTTTAACTAGTTTTTTTTTTTGTTGTTGTTGTTTTAACTAGTTTCAGGACAGTTCACTCACTCGTTGTCATTATGGACCTACTTGCAGGCAGGTAGGTCTGTAGAGTGATGTTAACAAAACAAAGGGTCTGCCCAGTAGAACTTGACTCCTAGTAAGAGAAGAAATCCTAAGCAAATCACAAGTGTGTCAGGTGGTGATAAATGCCATTGAGAAAAGAAAATCAAAGGAGAGGGGCGGAGTGGTGGAAGAGATAGCAGCTAAATTAGAATGGATGACCATGAAGTCTCTATACATTGGCATTCAGAGACACGAAGGGAGTGAGAGTGTAAGTTACAGTTGCTTTCAAGGGTAAAGTGTTCATCCAGAGGGAACAGGTTTAGTGTACAGAGGGCAATGGGGACAAGTACATTTGGGGTACTAACAAAAAGGAATTCTCTTGCCTCCTAATCTCCTCCCCTTCCTTCTCCTCCTCTCCCCATTTCTTATCCATCTTGCTCGTTTTTATTAAAGAGAGACAAAATTGATGATCTTAGCATTCAGGGTTAGTGATAGCTCTTGAAAGTTAGCACACACACACATAGTGATAACTCTTGAAAGTCAGCACACACACACACACACACACACACACACAATCTCTCAAATCTTAACACTTATTAGAAACATTTACAAATTACACAAAGTGTTTCTGGTCCAAGAACTTTCTATGTTCAAATCACACAGGGCTGTGAGGCATGGTATACAACATGACTTTGACTTTTTTCTAAGTTGTGGGAATCATTAAAGAGGTTCAAGAAGTAAAGGAGAAGTGTTAAGGATGGACTTAATAAAAAGAAACTGTCATTAACTGCTTTGTGGAGAAACAAGTCCATCCACACAAGTATGGATATAGTCAGACCAGTTAAGAGTGTGATGTAAAATATAATGATACAGGAAATGATGAGAACTGACAGAAAAATGAAAGCTTTAGGAAGTTGCATTGAAAAAATTCGCTGACGTTCTGAGCTATAATATGAAAAGAAAGAACAAAGTCATGTGTGGATGGATCATAGAAAGTAGTAGACTGGAATTGTACTTATAGCAAGAAAAGGATGGGGATATAAAAATTTTGGAGGCCAAGAGAATCAAGAATGTGGCTTTACAAGAGTCAATTATGAGATGTCTGATATATGTCTGACGAAAATTGTCCAGTATTTGGTATGCGATCCCAGAGTCCAAAGGGAAGAATTACTGCATTATATAAATATGTGATTTACAATCAAAATGCATTTGGTTTGTTGAGATCCAAATAAATGCAGATACATGTGAGAAATCTAGGTACAAGATTAGTACACCAGCATGGTCCAAGGTTTAAAAGTCAAGAGGGTAAGAGGGAGTTAGAAAGGGTGGCTGAGATTTGTAACAGTGAGTGATATCAGGCACTGCTAGTCTTGAAAAGGGGGCTGGAGAATAAATTAATAAACACAGAACCCACATGACTTTGACAAGGGAAATAACATTTGTGTGAAGTTGAATTTAAGAATGATCAGTTGAGAGCAGAATAAAAAGTGGAAATGGAGAGAAGTAGTAAATCTTGTAAGAAATGTCATCAAGGGGTGGATATAGGATGGCAGTTTTCTGTTTTCCAGAAGCATTACAAATCTAAGGGTAGTGTTATTTGTTAAGGAAAAATGAAGACATTTGTACATTCTCATGGGAATCAACTAATGAAGATGGGAAACCTCTGAGATAGAGGGTTACTCTAAGTATCCTGTATCTTTGGGTTCTGTGGAAAGCCTGGGGTTACTTGTTTCAACCATTGTAGCATAACTGAAAGTGTAACACATGCATGCAAATGTAATAGCATGATTAATTTACTGCAGGAGTGGCGTGAAAATCTCCTGCAATCACTTCTAATTTCTCAGTGAGTAAAAGGATTATCATTGGCAGTAGGGAAAGGGGATTGGGAGATTTGAGGAGCTGAAAGATTGTAAAACAATCATCCAAAAAGCTGTTGAATACTCATAACAGCAACAGAATAAGAAATGCCACCCTCTACGATGTCAGTACATGAGAATACTCATGCACACACCTGAAGCAAGTATCTTTGGACAATTCCCTTACTTCACCGACGTTTATTTCAATTTTGTTCACAGAAAGCAGGTAGTGACTCAGCAGCCAATCTCTTGACGCACTAATGGGTTACAGGGTGCTGTCTGAAAAACACTCATCCAGAAAAACTGAATAGGAAATTTGCTAAGGACGTATAATAGGATGTCTGTGCAGCAAAACAGACTACTTCAGAATAAAATGGAAAATGAGAGCAATCATCAGGAGCGAACCCGGAACTGTCACACATTCCCCACCTCTGCTTTGCTCTCTTGCTGAGAGCACTGTTTATTTTTAAGGTCCACAGTTGCCAGTAATGGACTTGCAATACTTCACTTTTCTTTCCATATCCTGTTTTTGTCACCTTTTTCATTGAATGGATCATGATCACAAAATTTAAGTGATTTCACCTCTGAATTCTTACTAGCATCTATTTGTTTCTATTCTGTTCCTATAATTTTAACCATAGTTCAAGCCCCCTTTTGCCTTTTTCCTACATCTTATAGCTTGCTTTTTATTATGACAGTAATGGATAACCACAAGAAAGTTGTCTTAAAATGCAAATTATCTTTAAATATGAGAACTAAAATGTCACTTTTAAAGAGATTTTTAACTTAACTTCTTGATATATATATATATATACATATATATTTTCCAGTCCTTATGTTATTCAATATTTTTCTCTAATTCTTCCTATATATTTGGACTCATGTAATATAACCCTGCTGTATACTATAACTTGCTTTTAAAATAATGCACTACACATTTATGAACACATCAGAATGTCTTCAGCCAACTTGATGCTAATGGCAGCTGCCATGGTATCCCACCTATGGTGTTTCCCTGGAAACATTGTGTAGACTCTGTATAGCCACAGGCATGTACTCTTCTGTACTCTTCAGATTAGGGACTACAGGGAACCTAATTTTCCAAAGCCTCCAAGTTGCTGTTTTAAAAGTCCTCATTTCTTACACGTCGATCACCGAGTATACTCACTCGAAATTCCATCAATCCCTGAATATTCTAGAAAGGAACTTAGTTAGACCAATGCTTGTAATACTGAGTTTCTTCTAATGGCCTTTGGTTAAAGGTCTCTTGTAAAAATTTCCATGGAATTATGAATTTCCATGATACAACTCACAAACACTTTTCATTCTCTCCCTGAGAACCAGACTTGACAGAAGGCTAATATAAGACGATCTTATAGGTTTTAAGACTTCTCTCTAAGAGTCAGTACACAACTCTTTCTCCCATGTTTTTTTGAAGACCTTCCAGCTTTCCCAAGCTTCTTGTCCACTAATTTCTTGTTAGCCGTGTCTCAGATGACTCAAATTAACCACAGAGCTTCATGTGGTTTTCAGGTTAATCTGTTGATTTTTCAATGTGTTGAGCATTTCTCTATTGGAGCCCTGGGAGTCATTTCCTTTTCCCATGTCCATAGTGACTTAAGCTGTCCAACCCCTTGTCCCTTATATCTACACACTGCTATTTCCTGGTATTTTCCTAGCCTAGAGAAATAGTTCTCTAGTTGATTCCAATATCTGTTCACCAAATCTCTCCCCTTCCCTCCAACAATAAAAACCAACTAACCAGCTAACCAACCTGCCAACAACAAAGGAAAAAAAAACAAAAACAAAAACAAAACCCAATCGAAAACAAACCAAAACCAAAACAAACAACCAAACCCTTTACTCAGTAGGCAGGGTCCATTGCTCCGGATTCTTTCCTGACTGTTTCTACTCCACTGTTCTTCCTTTCCGAATTCTAAACATCGTAAAAATGCATTTGATGAGAGCTTTTCCTTCTTGGTTATGTTGACAGGAAGGTTATTCAACCCTGTGTTTACAGTCTGGTATAGAGTTTAAAGCCAAACCAACCTGCTTTGTTATATTGTAATAAATCTTTTAAAGGCATAATAATAATAATAAGAATAACAACAACAACAAAATAAACCCAAATCACCCAACTTTAGATAGTATATGACTGGGAAACACTGAAACAGAAAAAAAAAACCAATTGCAATTAAAATTTTTTGTGTGTTTAATTAAAAGACTTCTCAGAACCCTTAAAATGTGAATCCACTGAGCTGCCCAACACCACCATTGATACTTGATGTAGCTAATACTGAATTTGACAAGAAAGCTTTTTTTAAAAAAACTAGGTCATGGTCATACAATGTCATTTTTGGAGCACACTGGGAAAATAGAATAGCCAAAAAGTTTGCATGTGTGATTTGCATAGTATTCTACATCTTCTCTGTCTTGCGATTATTTATATATTTTTTGACTGAACATTACATGTAAGATCTTGAAGACAGTACAGATTGTTGAAAATTATAGAATTTCAGTTGAAGTTCATGGTTAGGAACAACATTTGATAATATTTTAAAAGCATGATCTTGTTTCTAATTTCAGGGTTTTGTTTTCCATTCTTTTCATTCCATAGTATTCTGTGTGCTATCTTTTAGGCTGGGAAAATATTAGTATTTTGGTGTTGGCAGAAAGCTGAGTTAACACCGGACTAACATATTATCTCTACAAAACACTGGCAGAACAGTCCAAAAAGGAGAATGTAAAGACGGAGTTGAATTTTAAGGGCAAGAAAACCGGCATCTGCTCACTCCAGGTTTTGGGAGCCACTAGGGTACTGGAAAGGCAGTCTGCCTTAGTGCTTCCTCTCACTTCCAAGGGTGTGCTTGTCAAAAAGATACTCCGCTAGGCCAGCAGCTGGAGCCCCCATGGTGATTAAGTTGTGCACATGGTCACCTAATTCTTTAATAGACTTCACCTGCTCATTCAGGTAGTGCGTTTCCAGAAAGTCGCACAAATGAGGATCTCCTTTTTCGGATGCAAGGGTATGCAAGTCCAGCAGTGACTGGTTCACACTCTTCTCCAGGAGCAGAGCACATTCCATGGCCCGCAGTCCACTCTCCCAGTCATCTCGGTCTGGCTTCTTGATATCCTGGAGGGAGATTCGGCCTCCACGCTGGTTCTGAAGCCTCATTAGCTTCTCCGCGTGTTCCCTCTCCTCCAAGGACTGGTGAAGGAAATACTTGGAGAAGTTGTACAAGGCCACATCATCTCTGGAGAAATAGTAGGCCATGGACAGGTACACGTAGGATGCATAGAGCTCCATGTTGATTTGGCGGTTGATGGCGGTCTCGCAGTCTGGGTGAAAGTTTTGGCGCACCCTGGCAGGTCCAGTGGAGTTCTTGGAGGAGGCCAGCAGTCGTCGAGGGGAGGCGATTGGTAGGGGACTTGAAGGATACCTGTAGGCCAAACACTGTGGGACAGTACATCTGTGTAGCACACGGGGCAGGGACCTCAGTGCAGGGCCGATGTGCTTGGAGAAAAACCAGAAACAGGACAGCATGACTCCTCTTGTTGAAAGAAGCGGAATCCGAGGCGAGAAAACCGAGGCCAGGAAAATTCAGCCCAGGGTCGTCTGCTGCTGCGTGTCAGGTCTCAATAAGAATGCAGCCTTAGCGATGACCTCTGCGTCACACGACCCTTCTCTTCCACGGAGTTCTAAGAGATCTTGGTCACCAGTACCGTGTAACTGTCATTTGTCGGGTAAGCATGACTGTGGCACCGAGTCCTCGAAAGGAGGAACACAGAGAGTGGCATTCACAGGAAGGTGCCGAGTGACTAAGACAAGATTCTGGTCCGGATAGTATGGAGTTGATTAGTTTGCCTAAATTAAAATTCTGTTATTAAACATAGGCTCAGCAGCTCACCAAAGAAAGGACTGAGACGTCCTTGTCTCCTTTCACTAATCTTTTCCTGTCTAAGAACCTAAGGGCATGGGAAGGAAGGCTCAATAAATTTTTATATGCAAAGCGCTGCAAATCACTCCTGGTTATTTTAACAACACAGAGTAGGGGAATTACTCTGTTCCCGGAGTCCAGACAAAACTTAACTGTAATAGACTGCTTTTAAAGCTTATTGTGTTTTTAAATACAAAACTTATCTTTCTTGTAAAGAAGTCATATTTAAAAAAATAAAATATACCTGCTGGCTGTCAGCTTTTTTTTTTTTTTGTTAATGTAGAGATAGGTACATTTTTAAAAGAACCTGAAATTCTGAAAAAGATTTAGTGGTTTGTTGTTTCCTGTAGCCAGAGCTGGCCTTGAATTCTGCATCTTTCTGCCTCCCACCTCTCAAGAGCTGAGATTACAGTTCTGCGTCACCACTCTCCTGGAGGAAGAACATTTAATCTTAAGTAAATGTTTAAAAATTGTTTTAGGATGTTAAGAAAATAAACTAATAGGAAAAAGTTAAAGAGAAACACACACACACACACACACACACACACACACATATACACACACACACACACAAAACCCCAAACTCTAATTCTTTCCCTACGAGGGATAACTGTTGCTAAAATATGGATGATGGTTCTCACTGATTAAGATGATAGCAAAAAACAAAAAACAAGCAAAAACCTACTACTACCTCATAGAGGCGTAAATATTTGAGAAGATTTATTTCAGAATAGTTGTCACATACTAAATTTCAGATATTGGCCACAGTTTCAGTTTGACGTCTGTGGAACCACCCGTTAAACCCAGATAATCACAACACTTGTCACCCACTTCTGTGTCTTTTTGCATTTCCTAATTCTCGCTCTCGCAGCCCACTGATCGGCTTTGCCTCACTCCACAGGTTAGCTTGTGTTTTCTAGGCTCCTCTACACTGTAACTATCACTAGGCACAAAGGTTAGTTTCTTTCGCTCAGAATAATAAGGTCTGTCTACGTTGGAGTATACAAATATGCTAGTTTGTTCCTATTGCAGTGAAATGTTACAAAGATAAATTCCAGCTTGTCTTACCTGCTGATGAACAATTGGGTTGGATACAGTCTAGGCTATTATTACAAAGTCAAGCTGTGATTGACATGCCTGTAGCAGTGTTTGTGAGGTCATATGTCTTCTCTTGGGGAAATAAATCATACTAGAGTAGTCAGATAATATGCCATGTGTTTGACTGTTTACAAATCGCACAACTTTCCCCAAAGTTCTTATCTGAGGACACTCTCTTTTACATGTTGAGTCCAAGTTCCTACTGATGCTTACTAACATCTGGCATCATCATTCACTTAAAGTTGAAAACAAAAAAGATAGTCATTGTGATAGGTGTACATTAGCATTGTGTTTTTAATTTGTGTTCTCAAAATAAATGGCATTGTGTTACCCTGTGGTTCGTTGCCATTATCTTAGATGAGATATGTTTAAGTATTTATCACATTTACGTATTAAGGTATTTTGTTTGTTTGCTCCGGGAGACTTGAATTTCTATTCTCTGCATCTTTTGCTCCTAGCACTATTTCTATTCAAGTCTTTTTAATGTTACACATACGTTACCTCTTTATATCCCTTTCCTTTTCTTTTTTTCACAAAAAAATCACATGATATTTCTAGGTAAGTTTCTTTAATTGCTGATTTTTGATATTCCTAGTGTCCCCTACGTGATTAGAAAGTTAAATAATTATATGTAAGCACTTGTAAAACAGAACACTCGAGTGCTCTCTAACAGATCTTATGGAATACTCTTGTTTAGCTTTCCAAAATCCACCATTTTATATTATTCAGTAAGCAAATATTACCGTGATTAAAAGAAGAACTGAAGAGTCGCCTGTTTTGGTTACTAGGAACACTTCCCTGCATTAACGAACATTGCTATCATGAATGAATAGTGGAAAATTACTTTTTCTATGAGAATGCCAAGTTTGTAGTTTCATAGTGACCTCCCTCCTCTCAAATAAGCATCTTAATATGTATCATGAATAAAAGTGCGTGCTTAAAGTCAGGGAGCTCGTAGAACATGGATGGTATTTACCCAGCAATCCCTCGTGGGCGTCACATTTCTGGTCTCATTTTACTCTTATTTCCTCCAAACTTCTGCCACTTGTAAAATGTAATTTCCTAATGAGAGATTATGAAAATGACTGTTTAGAGTGATATTAATACCAACTTGCTGCTGCTAGTTAGTGCCGCAGGAAAATTTATGCCGTTCATTTAAGTGTTTAGCCCCAATATAGTAAAATACATGGTGGAAACAAGTGCTGTAAAGGATATGTGAGCAAAGCAATGCTCCAAATAGCGCGCATTCAGGCACAGCACACCAGCTGGTCAAAATGTCATGTTTTCCATGACAAAGTTTGTCATCTAAATAGTCAGACCTGGAAAATGTAAGAATGTGTATAACAGATGTTACGTTTATTTTATAAATATTTTGACTTCTAGTATTGTTAGTAAAATCAAGTTTGTTTTTTTAAACAATATACAGACTGAGACCTCCATACACTGCTGCTCTCCAGACTTCCTTAGATTTAATGACTTCTTCTCTCCCTTGAGCATGTTTTAAACTTCTGTGCTTTTCTGGGGTTCTTTCCTCAGCTTCACATTCCTCTTCTCTTATGCCAAGTTCCTTCTCAACATTCTGTTATTACATAATAAAATCTTTCTCATCTTTTGAAATTCCATCAATTCCACGTATTTTTTAAAAAACATTTTGTATAACAGCATTCAGATCTGAGTACCACTTTGTTGATGTCAAACAGTTCCTTATATTGAGAACCCATTGTGTTATAACTCTAGTCTATGTGAATGTGTGTGTGTGTGTGTGTGTATGTGTAAGAGTATTTTCATAAGCAGAATTTGCTTTATCCTTTTGAGATTTTCCAGGCTTACCACAGTGTTTGATACACAATAAGAACCCCTAAAAATAAATGTTTTTCCGTTGCCTAAATGAAATGGAACAAATTCACATATATCATTTTGGATTAGTTGAATATACTCACATAAACTGTTTTGGGGGGATGTCTTTAATATAATTTAAATTCTCTGAATTTTCATGGAAAGTCTCTGTAATTTGGTTAGGTCATATTCTAAAGTAACCCAATATTTGCCCTTTTCTTCTCTATACGTATATTGACAATAAGCTCTTATTATCTGTATACACATCCTTGGCCAACGGGAAATTAAAAACTTGAATGGACATAAATTGTTTTGGTTAACTCCCACTTTGATTTGTGCATAAGATTAAGTTTTCTGTTCATTTCTGTAAAGCATTTTGTTTTATATAGTAAAAGCTTTGAGAATTTCCTTAGCTTGGAGACAGTCCTAACATTTGTAGAGAGGGGCAGATTCAGAAACAATGAGGGAAAGAAAAGAACAGCACCCCTACCCATTTGTACTTGCATCTTCAATAACAATAGTTTCCTGTTTTTCTCATTTCCTTTAACCAAGACTTTTACCCAATAGATCAGTCACAGAAGAAGTTTAATTAATTATTCTGGGTTTTTTGAAATTACATATCAAAAGGCTTCCAAGACAAATTGAAGATGGAGATAAATCCATTGATGATTATTGTGGACCCCCAAACACAACCCTCATATCAAAGGGGACGAAAGATAGTTTGTTTTGGGGCCAAACATGAGTGGGCATGGCAAAGGAACACAGATGTAGGCTACCCCAGATTCCATGTTCCAACGTAGAAGCAGTTCTGTGAAGTGTTCATAGTAAAAGAACAATGTCAGTCAAAAATCAAGGTGCTTTTTAAACACATTGGTGGAAACATTAAGTAGGTGGTTACAGCAATGTAAAAAAAAACCCTCAGCTATTGGCCTCGGATTTGAGGATTCAATCTTTCTATTATTACGGGCAAATGTATGGATCTAGAAAACATCATATTCAGTGAGGTAACCCAGGCCCAGAAAGATAAATATGACATATACTCACTCATAAGTGACATTGAGACATAAAGCAAAGAAAAACCAGCCTACAATTCACAATCCCAGAGAACCTAGACCACAAAGGGAACCTTAAGAGAGACATACATGGACCTAATCTACATGGAAAGTAGAAAAAGACAAGATCTCCTGAGTAAAATGTGAGCATGGGGACTGTGGGAGAGGGTAGAAGGGGAGAAAAGAGGAAGGGAGGGGAGTGGAGAAAAATATATAGCTCAATAAAAACAATTTAAAAAAATAAAATTATGTGAGCTCCTTAAAAAGAGAAAACTAAAACTATGGTTTTGTTAAGTTAGTACAGTCTGAAAGATTTTGTCTGTTCTTTCAGGATATTAAGTCTGATACAGAGTTGGGCAAATAATGACTATTTAGATGGCTAAAAATAGTTCAAGACAAATTGTAATTAGGTTCCAGACCTGCAGTATTCAAACTCTTGACAACTGTTGAAGCTCTAATTAGTTCTAATCAGTCTTGCAGAAAGCTTCAGTTTGAAGTTGGGCTACTTTCCAGAGACTTTCCGTTCGCTATACCAAATGCCTTTGCTGCAATTGATGTCTTCGAGGGTTTTAACTAGAAAATAATAGAGAGCTTTGTTTGGGTAAAATGTGTTTATTGTATACACTGTGTGCATCACTAGTCTGTTAGTCTGAGTTTGATTATTAGGCAATCTCTAAGAATGATTGTATGCAGGTGTGGAGGTTTCGTTTTGTTTGTTTGCTTTCTGCTGGGATCCACTCCAAATGTGAAGGTTTTTTCCTGTGTGTGTGTGTGTGTGTGTGTGTGTGTGTGTTTGTGTGTGTTTGTGTGTGTTTGTATATGTGTGTGCATATGTGTTTGATGACTTGAAAATTGAGCCAGAACCAAACTCTAAACCACAAGGTGTGAACACTGAAGGAACCTTAGTACATTTGATTTATTGCTTCGTGTTATTAACCTAGCATTTGGGGTGCAAAGGGAGTACGCCCTTCATTATCTTTGAATTAATTATTGCAGCCACTTAACTACCAGATTCCTAAAATAGTTCCTTCAGGCTACTGGTTATCTCCAAAGCTCTCAGTTAAATCCTCAATAGCATTCTAACATGATGTTCTGTGAGATGTCCAAAAAGTCAGTGTCTTTTTATTTATTGTGACAGGGAGCATGGCACCCAGCAAATCTTTGAAGTCGAATCATGAACATGAACTACTGCATGACCTAGAGGACTGTGAACTGCCTTGGATTCTCCTTCACATTGGCTATTGGAAATAATATGTGAACCAAGATCAAATCCAAGTCCTTGAGCAAGAAACTTTGTTGTGTTTGTTTGCAGTAAAGATGCTGTGATGGCTAGCTTTGGTCATCCACTTGACACACCTGGGAAGAGAGAATCTCAATGAAAGAAAGAATTACCTACATCACATCATCCAGTGAACATATCTATGGGGACCCATA